AGGACAATCTGAAAATCAAACTTAGCAAATGCGCCTTCATGAGAAAAAAAATACAGTTTCTCGGCCATAACGTCACCCCACAAGGCATCACCACTCTAGATTCAAAGATAGAAGCTGTCAAGAACTTTTCAGTCCCTCATAGTGCTGAAGCTGTACAAAAGTTCGTAGGTCTAGCTGGATTTTACCGCCATTTCATTGCCGGTTATTCAGTGATTGCATCTCCTCTCACTTACCTCCTTAAGAAGGACGTTCCGTTTGTTTGGACTACTGATCAAGAGAAAGCATTTCAAATGCTCAAAGAAGCCCTGATATCTTCTCCCGTTCTCAAGTTCCCAGACTTCACCAAACCGTTTGTTTTAGTTACTGACGCCAGTAACATTGGGTTAGGTGCCGTACTCGCTCAAACTAGCGACAGAAAAGAACATGCCATTGCATATGCGAGCCGAGTCCTCTCTAAAGTTGAAAAGAATTATTCGACAACCGAGCGCGAAGCGTTGGCTGTCGTGTGGGCACTCAAACATGTCAGAGATATCATCTATAACTACCCCGTCCATGTACTGACGGACCACTAAGCTATCACTCCCTTGTTCAGAGACAAGAACCCCATAGGTAAGTTTTCCCGTTGGTCGCTCACCATACAAGAGTTCCTACCCACGTTTGGATACTTACCTTAATGTAGTTACCGATGCTCTCTCTCGTTACGTCGCTTCTGTTCACGCTGAATACCCTTCATTAGACTTGCGAGATGTATGACTCGCACAACGACAAGACCCAATGTGGGCACCGATCATAAGCTTTCTCATGGACCCGCACACGACTCTTACGGTCAAGCCACCCGTACCACTCAAGGAACTAGTACTCTTAGATCATGCGCTCCATCGCAAGGTTATGCTTGGATCTCCTGCCAGACTGGTACATCAACTTGTTATTCCTGCGTCGATAGTTCCTACCGTGTTAAAACTTGTTCACGACGCCCCACACAGTGCGCATCCTGGCAAGGACCGCACCATCAAGCAGGCTCGTCTTACATACTACTGGCCCAAAATGGCCAACCAGATTGAACGTCACATGGATCAATGTCTAACCTGCCTAGCTCACAGAGGCCATGTTGCTGGTTCGAACCCGATTCAGACTTACCCTACGACTAATGCACCTTGGGATCGTGTTTCTATGGATTTGTTAAAAAATTTTGCTGAAACTTCCAGAGGAAATAAACATCTAGTTATGGTAGATAACTTCTCTAGATACTGTAAACTGGTTCCAATTCCAAAAAAAACTGCAGAAACTATAGCTAGTGCCTTTCATGATCATATAATTTGCAGGTATGGTCCACCTAGAGTTATACTCTCTGACAACGGCCCGGAATTCAACAATTCTGTTCTGGAACAACTGTCTACATTGTACATCAAAAAGTGTAATATAATGCCTTATCAACCGGCTAGCAATGGCCTTGCTGAAAGAACTAACAAGAAGGTCCTTGACGCACTCAGAGTGACAGTCAATCAGGACAGTCACAAATGGGATGAACTTATGCCACTCGTCCAATGTTCGATAAACTCCTCTGTCAACTCCTCCATAGGAGACACACCTCACTTTGTGCTATTTGGGACAGACATGAGATTTCCTAATGCCATCATCTCCTCGCCGCCCGCGCCACTACAACTATGACGACTATGTTAAGGTCAAACGGAGAGACACTCAACTGGTGTTCCAGAGGGTCAAGGAACATCTCTCTAAAGCTACTAACGATTTCACGCGGTTACAAAACGCTCATGCTAAACCTACGAGAATAGGGCCTGGATCTTTAGTAATGATCCTCAACCAGCGACGAGATGGTCCCATGTACAAACTGACTGAGAAGTTCCTTGGTCCTTACAGAGTTCTTGAGCATATCACAGGTAATAAGTACAAGCTGGAAAACCTAGCCACGGGAGAACAAGTACATGAGCATCTCAACCACATGAAATTAGCCCGTCTGACTGTCGACGATGACACCCCGACTCCTGTCCCTGACAACGTACCGTGTGACCCTACCACTGTGACACCCACTTCGGTCTCAGACACGCCCAGCGATACTACCCCACCACGTACTCACACATACAATCTTCGGTCCAGACCTGTTATTTCCACAGTACACCACCAACAGTCTGGTGATTCATCTTCGTGTGACTGTGGTGTTCCAGTCTGTAAGGGACAATGGATGCGTTCTATCTGCTCTCCTCTCCCTGCCTGTTCGTACATGGCAGAGGAAGACTACGTTCGTGACGGACTAGCACCTAAGAATTCATAGTTTTATGACTAGATTTAAGAGTGATTACAACAATCGTTTCGCAACCCTCGACTCAATGTATATAGACCCTTCCACCTCATGTATCTTTGTTCGTAGTTTATTGATCTTGTCTGTATACACTATGTAGGTCCTCGTGTTCCTGCCACGTTCATGCTCTCCATGTTTTAGTGGAAATGTCGCATATTCTATGTCTTGCCATGTAATATATTGTGCCTACATTAGTGTCTACCGTTTATAATCTACTCAACATGTAACACTGTGGCCGAGCATCATGAATTCCTACGCGCAACTTCTGGTCCGCTGACTCTACCGCTACCGCCTCTACCTGCTGCCGGACCTCCCGCCTCCAGTTTGCACAGACATTTAGCTAGTTAGTCATGATGCTCCATGGATAGCTTAGTTTGAGGATTATATTTAAGCAATGTACTCATTATTCATGCATGTCCGAGACGGTGTTGGACGTCTCAAAAAATAAGCTTGTTTGTTTACGGCCACTATAGGTAAATCATTGTTTTTCTGTATATGATGTTAGTTAGGTACACGCCCAAGGGTTGTCAAATTTTTCAAGCAGATCGCCGAGGACGCCGATGATAGCGTGCCGAGCAGTGTTGGACGCCAGTTAGGCGCCATGGACATACACATGGGGTGACCCAATACCCTCTTATGATGGCCGGCGCTAAGCTAAACAACTTAATAGGTATCAACAACGTTGTCAGCAGATCTGAATGTAACTCTGCGCCTGCAGCCCTCAGACCTTCAGAGACAGCCAGGGCCACGGAGCATCCACACACGCTCCCTCACACACTCTAGCTTCTAGATCCTGGCCCGTGTACAAGATATATATTTTTATAATAAAACTAAGAAAAAGTAGTGGACGTTTGGTACTTTAATTCCTGCCCACTACCAAGTAACCTTCGACCATTCCCAGTCAACATCAACCTAATCAGTCTACAACAACATCAACCTAATCATTCTACAACATCATCAACCGGTGTTACACATTCCCGGGTACAGAAAAGCGAGACAGACACAGATGGTGGTCAAAGTGACACATATGGAGGCCAGAGTGACACATATGGGGGACCAGAGTGACACGCACATGGGGGGCCAGAGTGACACGCACATGGGGGGCCAGAGTGACACGCACATGGGGGGGCCAGAGTGACACGCACATGAGGGGCCAGAGTGACACGCACATGGGGGACCAGAGTGACACGCACATGGGGGACCAGAGTGACACGCACATGGGGGGCCAGAGTGACACGCACATGGGGGACCAGAGTGACACGCACATGGGGGACCAGAGTGACACGCACATGGGGGACCAGAGTGACACGCACATGGGGGGCCAGAGTGACACGCACATGGGGGGCCAGAGTGACACGCACATGGGGGGCCAGAGTGACACGCACATGGGGGCCAGAGTGACACGCACATGGGGGCCAGAGTGACACGCACATGGGGGACCAGAGTGACACGCACATGGGGGGCCAGAGTGACACGCACATGGGGGGCCAGAGTGACACGCACATGGGGGGCCAGAGTGACACGCACATGGCGGGCCAGAGTGACACGCACATGGGGGGCCAGAGTGACACATATGGGGGACCAGAGTGACACGCACATGGGGGGCCAGAGCGACACGCACATGGGGGGCCAGAGGCAACACTTGTGTGGTAACGAGACCACTGTGGCACGGACGTGAGAAATCAGAACCTATGCAGAACAAATGAACAATTCGAGAAGGATGTACAGTTCCGAAGAACAGAGCAAGTCGTTCTAGTATGTTCAGAAGTGGAGTGCAAGCCAATATACAAGATTGAGGAGTGCTGACTGATATCTCTTGTGCACGTTCAACAGTTTATTTATGCAATCAAGAAATCAAGAACGATACTGGTTTTACGATGTTAAAGAGGCGAGGTGGAGGAGGCAGGGGAGGTGGGCGGACATGATGTTTGTCAGAGGAAGCTGGCAATCAGTGTCCGGATGTTGTATAGTGTCTCTCACCCCAGTGATGCTGTATAGTGTCTCTCACCCCAATGATGCTGTATAGTGTCCCCCCTCGCCCCAGTGATGCTGTATAGTGTCTCACCCCAGTGATGTTGTATAGTGTCCCCCCTCACCCCAGTGATGCTGTATAGTGTCTCTCACCCCAATGATGCTGTATAGTGTCCCCCCTCGCCCCAGTGATGCTGTATAGTGTCTCCCCTCGCCCCAGTGATGCTGTATAGTGTCCCCCCTCGCCCCAGTGATGCTGTATAGTGTCCCCCCTCGCCCCAGTGATGCTGTATAGTGTCTCTCACCCCAATGATGTTGTATAGTGTCCCCCCTCGCCCCAGTGATGCTGTATAGTGTCCCCCCTCGCCCCAGTGATGCTGTATAGTGTCCCCCCTCGCCCCAGTGATGCTGTATAGTGTCCCCCCTCGCCCCAGTGATGCTGTATAGTGTCTCTCACCCCAATGATGCTGTATAGTGTCCCCCCTCGCCCCAGTGATGCTGTATAGTGTCTCTCACCCCAGTGATGCTGTATAGTGTCTCTCACCCCAATGATGTTGTATAGTGATAATACATCACCGTACACTCGCCATTTTATAGTGATACTGTAAAACCGGACAAATATAATGTATATGTATGCATTATCATTATTAGTGATACATGTAGATAAGTCCAATTCCACAAGGATCAATTTTAATCATACTCAATCCCTCACCTTGGCTGTCGTTCTTGAGCCTGATCCTGCTGGTGGCGCCGAAGAAGACGTCCGCGAGGTCCCTGATCTCTGGAACAAATTGGTCGAGGCTGATGAGGTTGTGGGGCCCCGCCTGGGCCATGCCGTGGTCGGCCACCAGGAGAATGTTGACACAGTGCAGGAGGCCTCCCTTGGCCAGGCCTTCCACCAGGCTGGACACCTGCTTCTCCATCCTCACCAGCTGCTCGTCTACCTGCAAGGCCACGAGACAGCAAACATGAGGAATGAGAGAGAGAGAGAGAGAGAGAGAGAGAGAGAGAGAGAGAGAGAGAGAGAGAGAGAGAGAGAGAGAGAGAGAGAGAGGGGGGGGGGGGGGGAGGGAGGGAGGGAGAGGGTTTTGTTTTTCGTCCGTCTGTCTGTCTCTGTCCGTCTGTCTGTCTGTCTCTGTCCGTCTCTCTCTCAGTCTCTCTCTCTCTCTGTTTTGGTATTGGTTTTCAGACCTGTCAATTTCTGGAGGGATATATATAGACTTCAGAAGTCTTTACTGAACAACCAGGTGAGGTTTTTGGATAGAGCTTTTTGTGTCAAACGGAACAGGTTAAGGGTTTGCTATCCGGGAGCAAGAATTGAAGATATTGTGAACAACATGAATGACGTTATGTGTGGAAATGAGAACAAACCTATTATTTGTATTAGTGCAGGTGGAAATGATGTTGGACGAGTTAGGAGTGAGAAATTGATACAGAGGTTTAAGACAGCAATAAAATTAGTTAGGAACAAGGGAGGAATCCCGATCATATGTGACATTCTTCCAAGAAAGGGAGATGGAAATGAATTATTGTCGAGGGCACTTGGTGTCAATTGCAGGCTGGAGAAATATTGTAAATCAAATGCAGTATAATTTATTGATAACTGGGACCAATTCTATGGAAGAAATGTAACCCGTCCTCAACTCAAGTCCATTACATCCAGAGGTCGACCCCACAGACGCATTCATAAATTTTTACATGCTGTTCATTCAAAACGGGAATTTTCTCAAATATAAATTAATATTATAATATATTAGCATATTGTGAATATATAGGCATAGGTTAGGTTCTGTTGGCGATTATTTGTATTTGTAGTACGTGGGTGAAGCATTTACAGCGTTGTGGTTCGAACAAAATTCGTCAGTGAAGCACTTGTTCCGGAACTGATCGAACGAAATCAGTTGAGAGTCGTGTGTAAACCGATTTTCATTCATAAACAGCGGGTGCATGGAATCACCTTTGGGACTTTGTTTGGGTGCCTGGCTGAAGAAATGACATTTATGCTGGAATGTTGTCTCAGAGGGAATCAAAACTGAGCCACATACAGAATTCTGGTATGAAATTTACCGCGTCTCCCAGCTCGTAATTTCTAAATACTAATGAGATCACAGACTGATGTTCAACATGTCGACCAAAGCAACAAAAAGCGTAATCAGCAGGACCCGAGAACTGCAAACCCGCCAACGTGGTACAGTGAAATGGCGCCAATATAAAATATTTACTAACCTCATGGTTGCCGCTCCACTCACACACACACCCTGCCAGGTCTCAGCTAGGCGGCAGCGCATGCGTCAGTCTAAACGGCCACGCCAGACTAGTCGACTTACAGGGAAACAAGGAAAACACGTTCTCTCCCCACGACGGTCTGCGTTCTTCTGCATCTGTTGAGTGTTCGATCGTTTGTTGTTGACGAGAACTGTAGAATGGCGCTCCTGGATTGTTTGAGGTTGCTGTAGAATTATATTGTGTAGTTTCTTTATCCAGTAGTTGTCCCGTATGGGTATCAACTGACAGCAAAGAAGAAGGAAGCGAACTGAGTGAATCATGAGCCATAGTTGAAGACTGGTGTTGGATCAGGGAAGAACCAGACGCCATATTAATGACTGAAATGGCGACACTGGTGTCTCGTCGAGGTGGTTAACCCTTCTGCCGGTACTCACCTAGTTGTGTTTGTGGGGCCGGTTGAGCTCTGGCTCTTTGGTCCCGCCTCTCAACTGGTGTACAGATTCCTGAGCCTGCTGGGCTCTGTTATATCTACATTTGAAACTGTGTATGGAGTCAGCCTCCACCACATCACTTCCTAATGCATTCCATTTGTTAACTTCCTGGTGTTCCAGGAAGCGTGGTGGATGGGACCCCTGCCTTTCTTGATGTCAGCCTTGCTCATAATTTCAGTGGTGGTTTCTTAATATTTGGTCGTCAGGTCGCATTTTATTTTCTATATATCTGACATTGGTTTTGAATAGTCAGGCAAAATGAATTGGTCGTCATAATTCATTACTTCGGGGGCCGGGCAGCTAATGTATGTATATATATACATATTAGGCTTATATCGGGGGCTCCCTCCCCCCAAGGTCGAATTACTGACCCCCCCCCCCCCCACTCAGGATGCAACCCAACAAGAAGCTGACTAACTCCTGGGTACATAATTACTACCAAGTGAACAAAAGCATTAGGTGATAGGAAATGCGCCCATTTCCATCTTGCCCGAGATTCGAACCCGGAATTCTCGACTTTGATTCGAGAATGAACCCGACTGTATTACCGGGACCCTATTGGTTGAATTCGGATATATTTCCGGGATATAAGGCATATTGCTTCTCCACGTTCTTTACTCATGATAGGGTGACAGTTAGGCCATGGGGTGTAGGCTGGAGACGAACGTGTGTCTCGAAAATGTTAGGACTGTGTCAGAGCCATATTCCAACTACACAATAACCAGTGGGTCATTGTGTAGTTGTTGGACTATGACACTGACACAGTCCGATCATTGTCGAGATGATCAACACACGAACCCTCTCACAATGTGCTTCCTAACAACAAACATATTTCGCATCACCCACAAAACACGATATAAATCATTGTAACATTGTTTCTAATATTACCGACTCTTTTGAACCCCATTGGGTAACCTAGAGGACGAAAAACCATGGACAGTGAGCGAGAGAATGCACGTTTTCTTTAGTCTCCCCAGAACCTTTTCCTTTAGGAACCGGTTTTCTGTTTTCAAAAAGAGAAAATGAGTGCGTGATAGGAGACCATTGCAAACATAATAATAATAATAATAATAATAATAATAATAATTTATTCACAAGAAAGTACAATGGGTTGGTGAGATTACACAAGTTTGGTACTAGTACATTCTTGCAAAGACACTAACATGTATAGCTTTTCGGGCAGGTCCTTAATCTAACATGTCAAGTTCATAATTACTTTTTTATTTATATATACAAGAGTTCTTATATTCTTGTACAGCCACTAGCACGCGTAGCGTTTAGGGTAAGTCCTTAATACCATGTTCTCCAGAATACGACCCCGCCAAATCGTTTAACAACCAGGTACATATTTTACTGTTAGGTAAACAGAGGCTACAGTTAAGGATTGACGTCCAGTAAATCCTCCCCGGCCAGGATACGAACCCAGGACAAAACGCTCGCGAAGCGCCATGCGAATGTCTCACCACTACACCATGCGGGGACTGCTAAGATGAAAAGGTACAGTGTAGCAAGGTTTTATATCAACAAATAACTACAACATACGTTGACAGCGGTGATTACACTGGTGAAGATATGTGTCTTAAGTACTAATATTGGGGAAGTGGGCAGTGAAAGATACAGTGTGAGTTTGAAGAACAAAGTAGGAAACTATGAAGATGAAATTAGGCACTTTTAGGTTTTACTTTTGAATAAGGCATAGGTTGGACAATTTGTTAATTCATCATAATTTATAGCCTGACAGCTGAGTGGACAGTGCTTCGGGTTTGTAATCCTGAGGTTCCGGGTTCGATCTCCGGTAGAGGCGGAAACAAATGAGCAGTTTATTTCACCCTGATGCCCCTGTTACCTAGCAGTAAATAGGTACCTGGGAATTAGACAGCTGCTACGGGCTGCTTCCTGGGGGTAACAAAAAGGAGGCTTGGTCGAGGACCGGGCCGCGGGGAGCCCCGAAATCATCTCAAGATAACCTCAAGATCAGGGAGCTAGTTCCAAACTGGGCCCTTTTATTTGCACAGATTTAGTTTGATTCTGGGGATATCAAAGATATGTTTACTTCTGGTGTGGTGATAATGGGTTCTATTACATCTATGAAGAAATGTTTCAGATCAAGATTAGCATTTAATGACAAGGTTTTATACATGTAGATGGCACATGAGAATGTGTGGAGTGAGTGTATGTTTAGCATGTTAAGGGACTTCAATAGAGGGCCTGTGTGTGTGTGTGTGTGTGTGTGTGTGTGTGTGTGTGTGTGTGTGTGTGTGTGTGTGTGTGTGTGTGTGTGTGTGTACTCACCTATATGTACTCACCTATATGTGCTTGCAGGATCGAGCATTGACTCTTGGATCCCGCCTTTCTAGCTATCGGTTGTTTACAGCAATGACTCCTGTCCCATTTCCCTATCATACCTAGTTTTAAAAGTATGAATAGTATTTGCTTCCACAACCTGTTCCCCAAGTGCATTCCATTTTTCTACTACTCTCACGCTAAAAGAAAACTTCCTAACATCTCTGTGACTCATCTGAGTTTCCAGTTTCCACCCATGTCCCCTCGTTCTGTTATTATTACGTGTGAACATTTCATCTATTTCCACTTTGTCAATTCCCCTGAGTATTTTATATTTCCCTATCATATCTCCTCTCTCCCTTCTTTTCTCTAGTGTCGTAAGGTTCAGTTCCTTCAGCCGCTCTTCATATCCCATCCCTCGTAGCTCTGGGACAAGCCTCGTCGCAAACCTCTGAACCTTCTCCAGTTTCTTTATGTGTTTCTTCAGGTGGGGGCTCCATGATGGCGCGGCATACTCTAAGACGGGTCTCACGTAGGCAGTGTAAAGCGCCCTAAAAGCTTCCTCATTTAGGTTTCTGAATGAAGTTCTAATTTTCGCCAGTGTAGAGTACGCTGCTGTCGTTATCCTATTTATATGTGCCTCAGGAGTTAGATTAGGTGTCACATCCACTCCCAGGTCTCTTTCTCGAATCGTTACAGGTAGGCTGTTCCCCTTCATTGTGTACTGTCCCTTTGGTCTCCTGTCACCTGATCCCATTTCCATAACTTTACATTTACTGGTGTTAAACTCCAGTAGCCATTTCCCTGACCATCTCTGCAGCCTGTTTAAGTCCTCTTGGAGGATCCTACAATCCTCGTCTGTCACAACTCTTCTCATTAATTTTGCGTCATCTGCAAACATTGACATGTATGATTCCACTCCTGTAAACATATCATTTACGTAAATTAGAAAGAGGATTGGTCCCAGCACCGATCCTTGAGGTACTCCACTTGTTACTGTTCGCCAGTCCGACTTTTCGCCCCTTACCATTACCCTCTGGCTCCTTCCTGTTAGGTAGTTCTTCACCCATACTAGGGCCTTTCCGCTTACTCCTGCCTGCCTCTCAAGTTTGTATAGCAGTCTCATGTGCGGTACCGTATCAAAGGCCTTTTGGCAGTCAAGAAATATGCAGTCTGCCCAGCCTTCTCTGTCCTGCCTTATCCTTGTTACTTTATCATAGAATTCTAAAAGGTTTGTTAGGCATGATTTCCCTGTCCAGAACCCATGTTGGTGCTTGTTTACAAACCCAATGCTCTCCAGGTGCTCAACAAGTCTTAGCCTAATTATTCTTTCAAGTATTTTGCAGGGGATGCTTGTCAGTGATACGGGTCTGTAGTTAAGTGCCTCCTCCCTATCACCCTTTTTGAAAATCGGTACGACATTTGCCTCCTTCCAGCAACTGGGCAATTCTCCTGACATAAGTGACTCATTAAAGATCATTGCCAGAGGCACGCTGAGAGCCTGCGCTGCCTCTTTAAGTATCCACGGTGATACTTTGTCTGGTCCAACAGCTTTATTTGCATCCAGTGTTGTCAACTGTTTCATTACATCCTCTGCTGTCACCTCTATATCTGATAGTCTTTCATCTTGGGTAATCTCTTCTAACAATGGGAGCTGCTCAGGCTCGGTTGTGAACACTCCATGGAATTTTGCATTCAGTACCTCGCAGATTTCTTTGTCGCTTTCTGTATATGCCCCTTCTGTTTTCCTCAGTCTTGTCACTTGGTCATTTACCGACATCTTCCTTCTTATATGGCTATGTAGTAATTTTGGTTGCTTTTTCGCTTTGACTGCAATATCGTTCTCATAATTTCTTTCCGACACCCGTCTTATGTTAATGTAATCATTCCTAGCTCTGTTACATCTAATCCTGTTGTCCTCTGTCCTTTGTCTTCTGTACTTCCTCCACTCCCTCCTGCTTCTCACCTTTGCTTCCTGACACTGTCTATTAAACCATGGGTTATTATATTCCCTCCTGCTTTTTTCCTTTATTGTTTGAATAAATCTATCTTCAGCCTCCTTGCATTTCAATATGACTTGGTTCATCATACCTTGCACTGTTTTTCCTCTAAGTTCTTCCTCCCACTGCACTTCTCCCAGGTAGTCCCTTATCCTTCTGTAGTCCCCTTTTCTGTAATCAAGTCTCCTTTCCCGGACCTCTTGTCCTTTGGTCACAATTTTAAGCTCCATCATGTAGTCAAAGACTAGGACACAATGGTCACTAGCTCCTAGTGGTATTTCATGTTCCAACTGCTCGATGTCTTCTACATTCTGAGTGATAATGAGATCTAATAGGCTGGGCGTATCCCCTCCTCTTTCCCTAGTATCTTCTTTCACATGCTGTGTTAGGAAATTCCTGTCAATAACGTCTACCAGCTTCGCTCCCCAGGTCTCCTCCCCGCCATGGGGATTCCTCGTTTCCCAATCTATCTCTCCGTGATTTAGGTCCCCCATGACCAGCAGCTTCGCTCTCATTCTATGCGCTAAAGTTGCTGCCCTCTGCAGTTCATCCATACATGTCTTGTTGCTGTCCTCGTACTCCTGCCTGGGCCTTCTACTGTTTGGTGGGGGATTGTAGAGTATCAAGATTACAATCTTCTTCCCATCCACTGTCAGAGTTCCATGTATGAAGCTTGTGCTTTCATTGGTACCCGGATTTTCCAGCTCATCAAACTTCCATTACCGCTTTATTAGTAGTGCCACTCCTCCTCCCTGTCTCTGTGTCCTTTCTTTTCTTATCACCTGGTATCCCTCTGGAAAGATTGCATCCGAGATCATGCCATTTATTTTAGTTTCCACTATTGCCACTATGTCTGGGTCTGCCTCACTAACTCTTTCTTTTATCTCTTCTGCTTTATTGGCTACCCCATCAGCATTGGTGTACCAAACCTTGAGACTCTTCTTGGAAACTCGGGTGTCAGAGTTCCCCCTTTCACCAGGGGTCTGGGGGGAACTGGGGGGTGTCTGGGGGGCAAGTGGGGGCTGTGGGGGTGAGTGGGGGGGTGCTAGGGGGGTGCCTGGGAGTGCCTGGTAGGCGAATGGGGTCTGGGCATCTAGGGGGGTAGGAAGGGCATAATGGGTCTGAAAGTTAGGGGTCTGAATAGCATAGGGGGGTTGAGAAATAGAGTGAGACTGAGAGTCAGATAGAGGTTGAGAGGTTGGGGGGGAGAGGGATACTGAGGGTGGAGAGCTGAGATGAGAATGGAGCATGGGTGCTGGGAGTGGAAGAGAGGGTATATCAGTTAGGGGGGAATCGGGGGTAGGTGGGGGTTTTGGGGTAGAAGAGGGGAAGAGGGAGATGGGGGAAGGTGTTAGGGGGTCACAAGGTGAGGGGGTTAAATGTGGGCTGGAGGTGCATAGGAGGGGTGAGGGTTGGGTGGGGTTTGGGGGTGAGTGGAAGAGGGGTGCAGTGGAAGCTGGGATGGAGTAGATAGAATTGAAGTCAATGGGGTAGAAGGGGCAGGGGAGTAGGAAGGGGTATTTGGGGAGGGGGGATGGGAAGGTGGGTTTGGGGAGGGCATGGCTTCACCCACTGGGGTCGCTGACAAGTGTGATGTAGCAGGGGCAGGGGAATCGTTGGGGAGGTGCAAATGTGGAAGGGACAGGGGGGTTTTGGGAGGCTGAGGCAGGGGGGATGTATAGGAGGGCTGAGTTGGGGAGGATGCGACCTGGGAGGTGACCTGGGAGGTGGCCTGGGAGGTGACCTGGGATGTGACCTGGGAGGTGAGACTACCTGAGGGGCTAGTTCGGTGTCGTTGTTGCCATCTATTTTTGTGGGCTATTTGCTCATCTTTCGTCATAAACCTCTCTATAAACACATTGTAATGGGTTTCACTCCCTCTGAGTAAATGCTTGGTCCTCATTATGTACTCCACTGCCTCCTCATTGGAGAATTGCACCAGAACAGGTCTATTCTTGGTACAATTGTAAGGTCCAACCCGTCGATTTATATCCACCTCGCGTTCTGCCATTCCTGCTCCAATACACCTCAATATCTCGTGCAATTCGTATTTTTCTGTTTCTATTCTCTCTTGTCTTGTTGGTGCCCTAGATTCGAATAATCCATGTATTATAATAGACCGTCTCCTCAGTAAGTCCTTGTCATGCTGGTAGCCTGTCTCCTGGGGATTCCCCATCCCAACCGCAGTCACTAACCCATCCCCCACTAATCCTCTATCCTTAGCCATGCTGCTAATTCTTCTTAATTCGTTTGTGATACGAGCACATTCCCTCTCCCAGTCCTCTCTTCCCTTCCTAATCTCTTCCTGAACATAGAGCATAAGTTCTTGTTTCTGCCTCTCTACCGCATCCTGTATTTGCTGAAATACCTCACTTTTAATCCCCTGTATTAGATCCTCCAACCAATCACTCCTTCTCTCTACAAATTTCCCTATTAATTTGTCTATAAATCTGTCCTCCTCCTCATCCCTGCTGGTGATTGACCTTGAACCCCTTCTAGTCATTGCAGTAACAATCCTGCCAAAAAGGCGCTCCTCAATACCTTGCACAATCTGCTAACACAATAGGTGAGTGAATCTCCAATCGTCGTCCCACGTGGTGGTAGAAGGGTTGTTGCCGGAGGTGAGGTCACGCGGTCAGAGGTCGGTGAGGTCTGCTTCCACACTGCACAGTATTTCCTCAACTATTTTGAATTACACTAATTAAACTGTTTTTCTTCACTACCTTATGGCTCTGGTCAAAACCCAAGGTTTTTTCATTCACTTGTACATTCACTTATAGTCTTTTTCACTTCGAAGTTGCCTGATTACCCCTCCCACTCCACTAGTGAACCAGGAGCTCCCAACCCACGTCCACCCAACACGATGGTCACAAGACAAGTGTGTGTGTGTGTGTGTGTGTGTGTGTGTTGTCTGAAGACAGAGTTTGTCATTGTTCTGACAAACAATGAACATGGTTGAATGTTGATTCAACGTCGGTAATGTTGACTCAACGTCGGTAATGTTGACTCAACGTCGGTAATGTTGACTCAACGTCGGTAATGTTGATTTAAAGACACTCGAGAATGTTTTGCCCACTGGGAGAGAGAATGGGAGGGATAAAGGGAGTAAGAACAGGAGAGAGGGAGAGTGGAATGGCGAGTGAATGAGAGAGAGAGAGAGCGCCCAACGCTCAAGCAATCGTATACACTTATTATGCCACATTACTCCACCATAAACCACACTCTTGCTCTTTTTAATTTTATGTATTTATTTATATATACAAGACTTCTTGGCGCCCGGTCAATCCTCCCCGGTCAGGCTACGAACCAAGGCCAAAGTGCCCACGAAGCGCCGGGAGAGTGTTTTACCACTGCGCCACGGGGGTCTTTCCTTCCAGAGACTCACCTCAGAAGAGTCGGGTCCCGTGGCGTGGCCCTGGTGGTCCGGCTCTTCGAAGTAGAGGGAGACCCAGTCAGGTCTCTCCGCAGCAGGCAAGCTCAGCCACTCCAGCACCTGCAGCAGCAAGACTTCTGTCACCACCACAACAATAAACACATCTACAGGAGAGATTGTCAAGGCCAGTCGTGTTTATAATACACGAGTACACGTGTAATAATACACGTGTTTATAATAAACACTCGTGATACACGAGTGTCTTAACACTCGTGTATATATAAACATTATCACCATCTTCAGTTGCATCGAAGCAATTATCAAAAGAAGACACCAAGTTGCATCGAAATAATAAACAGTGTGGATTATATAAGCAACTACAACACAATAAGCATTCTGGCTTCCCTCAACCATTTTAAGAAACCTTAAAATATTCTGTGGTTTCCCAATTACTTCACGAAATAATAAACATTCTAGTTTACGTCAACTATCCACATATAAAAATATAACATGACGACGAAAATTTTTATAATGGAAAATCAATATTGTCTAAATTATTTTTATGGAATACATTTTTTGTACACACACATTATAATACTTGTCACAAATGTTCTTTAATCAATCTTGACTTATCTCTGGGAACTGTTAGAACGAAACCTTTCGAATAGATATTATTTATTTTATTGATTATAAATGGATAACACGTTGTCTTGAAAACCATTAACCCGTACCTTTGGGACGCGAGCCTCGTAGTCAGTGTTCTTAGTGAACTTGAACCAGTAGGTGGGGAACCTTCCCTGGATGTCCGCGTCACCGCCTGGCCAGAAGTACGAGGCGCTCTTCCTCCCCTGCAAAGACACGATCTCTGAATGTTAATCAATACAAAAGTAGCTCAGAGCACGATGCTCAAAGTTGTGTCTCACCTGGCGGGTGCGGTCTTGATGCATATTCTGAGCCTCTCGCCTGCGCCACGCGTGAAGATAAATGTGTTTTTCAAAGTTGCGTGCAAGTAGACAGAACACCACACAAGTGCTACCACAAGGCTAGCAGTACTGCACTACCAGGTGCTGCCAGGGCATGGTATGGTGACAAGCACACCTGGAGTGTTACCAGAACGTACCTGGAGGGTGAGTATGATGAAGGCTTAACCTGGAGGGTGAGTGTGACCATGGCGTACCTGGAATGTGAGTGTGTTCCAGATGGGCTCGCCGCCCCACCACGACCCATTAAACTTGCGGAAGTATCCTTGGAGGACCGGGTCGTAGAAGAAATTGTCGACGATGCCGTGGCTCTCCGGGTAGAGCCCCTGGAGGGAGGGAGAGCTTGTTAGTGCGTGGAGGAGACGAGGAGAGGAATGGTAGGTAAATAAGAAGAGAGACGAGAAAGAATACAACAATGAAGAGCAATACGTATGACAATAATCATGGGATTGTTATTTAATTTTTTTGTAGAGTAGATTGAGGACGTTTCGTCCCCAAGGCATTAATGAATTCTAAATATCCTTATTTACGTCTCATACATGATGTGTGTTGACTTTGGCTACGTGCAGTGTGTATCATCACAGTGTATCATCACAGTGTATCATCACAGTCTATCATCACAGACTGTATTCTGTAAGGCCAAGTTTTGTCTCATGCATGGTTCATCCACAAACCTGTGTCTCAACCCTAACAGCAGAAGCCATAAGTATTTTTTTTTTAAGTTCACTGTACTTGTGTCACAGTGCTGAAGACAACCACAGAATTTCGAGATCAATTTTTTTTTTTATGTAAAAGATCATTCCAAAAAGGAATCTCACCTAAGGCACTGGGTGGAAGATATCGTCAGTCCCTTTATAAGTCGCCACAGGGAAGGTGTCAGTTATTCTGACTTGGGAGTTTCTTATCAGTAACTGGGCCTCCACTCTCATCCTATGTTAGATTCCTAATGCATAATAAAACTACGGAGTTAGCCAAAGCATATACTTTTAAAAAGGGAGTTGATTACCATTCTGAACTGCTTTTGAACAGGCTGTGTGGGAACCGACCTGTGAGATTTATATTTATATGAATATATTTACGTTAATTTATATACTTCGATAGCAATTGTATAATGATAAGTGGACTGTATTTCTGCAATAATCTCTTAATCTCACAAATCGATCCTCTACACATTAGGGGGGGGTTTATATTAATTTATATATATGCAGCCAATCAAACTACAGTAATAGACTACATACATTGAAGAGGTTCCTTATCTTATAGTACAGCAGGTTAGTCCACCAGGTATAACTAGGGTGTAGACACCAAATTATCCTCTTTGAGGTAGCTTCCATCACCCAGTAACTGGTGTACAAAGTCTTGCTTCCTCGTCTTGACCTGTTAAAAGGGCGCTAGCTGTAAAGCCAGAATCCTATATATGACAAGTATTTCAGAGAAAACACTGTACATGGAACAATGAAGACCTGGCTTAATTACCTTTAGTTTGAGGCTATATCGTGCTCTAACCGGCAAACCCTACCCAATGACATTAATGGCCACTAATGATAGATAATGGGTTTCGGAAAGAACACTTAACTTGATTTGTTGACAGCGTGTTGAAGATGGTACACCTTTGGTTTCCATAACACTACGTCCAAGTAAAATAAACAGGAGCCGAATTGCTCCCTGCGCCTCTGGTCTCAGTATAAACAATGGCTGTCTAACACTCCATACTATTGACGCTACTGGCCGACATTGTCCAGATATGATAGGAGCCAAATTTGCTTCACACGTCTCGGAGGTGACAACAATGGCTGCCCCCTTTCCTCACTCTGATGCCTAGTTTACATTGTCCAGATGTCGATAAGTGATAGAAGGGTCACATTTACTCTACTTTAATACTGATAATTAAGTTAATTTATATGAGATGTTTTATGATGGTAAAGTCCAAAGACTAATGTATTTAAGAATAATTCCCAGCAGAATAGCTGGTGAATTTATAATGGTATGTGGTGATGATATCCCGTTTTCTATAGACGGTAATTCCACTACAAGTTACGTTTTCTATGGGTAACTTGTTGGTAATACAGCAGCAATTATTATCTGTCTGTATGATATATTAAATGGTGTCGGATTTTCCGACAGGCTGAGAACAAAACATATACCAAGAAGTGCAAAAAAAAAAAAAAAAATTGAACAGACCAGAGACAAAGTGAAGTTCATACTAGATATTCTACCATTATACTAGTATACAGGAAGAGCCACACGTCTGTGGGTCAAGAGGAAGAGCCACACGTCTGTGGGTCAACAGGCAGAGCCACACGTCTGTGGGTCAAGAGGCAGAGCCACACGTCTGTGGGTCAAGAGGCAGAGCCACACGTCTGTGGGTCAACAGGCAGAGCCACACATCTATGGGTCATCCAGTTAGGTCAGCAGACACCTAGATGTTACCGCTGCTAGGCTCAGACTCGGCTACAAGTACCTCTGGGAACTTGCACCACCTGCTCAACTACATCTGACCAAGTGTAAACTCCGCCAACACAACTATTCACATAGTTGTTATCACTATATAATTGAAAGTGAAAAATTAAAGACTTTAGAAATAATTATATCAAAAGATAAATGTGGAAAGTATTTAATTCAAAAATATGAACTACCAGAAATCTTAACCAAGTATAGGTATAGGTATATACCCACCTATACCTATAGGTGGGTATAGGTATTCGTTTGCCTTATTCGGGTAGAATGTAGACACAGTAGTCGCTTCTGTATATTTATTGACCGAGACAACAAGGTATATATCTCGCCAGCCGAGGTCCTTCTACTCTGAGTCTGTGAGGATAACTGAGGCTGCTGGGAGCATGGCTTGATGCTCCTCTGTCTGGCATGACGTCAGAGGCCTACTTGCCTGTGATTGGTTACATTTCAACTGACATAGAATTTGAGTATAACATAGGCCCACCTCCGCCCACTGGATGGGTGTGGAGTGCACACTGAACAACTCATGTTATTTGTAACTAGCTCGCTACAAATATAAATGGCTTAGCTTAAGAGACTGGTGAGGTCTTGGGGCCCATTATGTGGCACTGAAGCCTTTCTTTCACTCACCCACAAGATGGTAACGGACTTCATAATAATTATATTCACTGACTCACTCGTTGGTATGACCTCTTGGGATCCCTGCTAAGTTAGTTTAATAAAAACGGACCCAGCCACTTGTTAGCCACTGGACGGTAGAGCGACGGTCTCGCTTCATGCAGGTCGGCGTTCAATCCCCGACCGTCAAAGTAGTTGGGCAGTATTCTTTCCTCTTCCCCCCCCCCCCCGTCCCATCCCAAATCTTTATCCTGATCCCTTACAAGTGCTATAAAGTCATAATGGCTTAGCGCTTTTCCCTGATAATTAAAAAAAATACAATTGATAACTGTTGACGTATACGTTAACACCTCGTGTAACTGGCTCGTTAACACCTCGTGTAACTGACTTATAAACGATCTAACTTAACTTAGATAACCAAATTTGGAGTTCATTTCCTGAGTTTATTAAATTTATGCTATGAACGACTGCTATTGATATAATTCATTTTGTCTGGGGACAGGAAGCCTGTGTATATATACATACTTTCTTTAGGATTGTATCTGTCTATGCAAGGTTGAAATACTGCTCTCTACCAGGATCCAACCCCACAACAGTTGCCTAACTTTCAGGTACTTATTTACTGTTAGGAGAACAAAGACATCAGATGAAAGGAAACATACACAATCATTTCTGTCCCATCGGGGAATCGAGCCCGGGATCCCCGATTGTTAGTAGAGAATAGACTAACGTGTTTCCCTAAATTAATTTAAGGGTTCAATTCCCAAGCCCATTTTGTGCGTCTGTAATCTTTTCCACCACCGCCCACAGCATGGGTAAGGAGTAATAAATTTAGAGGTAAGGGGTAATAATAATTATAATTTATTAATTTAGTTAACAACTAAACTAATTATGAAAAGGCCAAGAATACGCCTTATACATACCGTGACTATAGTATAGTGATTAGGAAAAGTGGTGGTGGGGTACGAGGACAACATATAGGGGGCGTGGACCCCCTTCTGGGCCAGCTTCTCAATGGTGGGGGTGAGCCCCCTCTTGAGGTAATCTGCTCGGAAGCCGTCAAGGGAGACCAACAACACTGGACGGCGGCCGTAGTCCCTCGGGCAGCGCGCCGCCTCCAGTCGCTCTGGCAGGAGCCCGTCATTTCTGGCGCTCAGCGTCACTCCCAGCACCGTCGCCACCACCACCAGCAGCACCATACAGCACTTGAGGAGACACAAGAACAAGTTGATACATTACGGTTCATGTGGCAAAATGATCACATTTTTTACTACTACATCTCCCACGAGCTTTTGTGAACAATTCATTCCTAAGACATAGCCATTTTGACCTGTTGAGTGGGTGGAGAGAAGCACAGCATAATGCAAGCAAGGAGCGTGGTAGTGTTGAGGTAGACGAGGAGCATGGTAGTGTTGAGGTAGACGAGGAGCGTGGTAGTGTTGAGGTAGACGAGGAGCGTGGTAGTGTTGAGGTAGACGAGGAGCGTGGTAGTGTTGAGGTAGACGAGGAGCATGGTAGTGTTGAGGTAGACGAGGAGCATGGTAGTGTTGAGGTAGACGAGGAGCGTGGTAGTGTTGAGGTAGACGAGGAGCGTGGTAGTGTTGAGGTAGACGAGGAGCGTGGTAGTGTTGAGGTAGACGAGGAGCGTGGTAGTGTTGAGGTAGACGAGGAGCGTGGTAGGTAGTGTTGAGGTAGACGAGGAGCGTGGTAGTGTTGAGGTAGACGAGGAGCGTGGTAGTGTTGAGGTAGACGAGGAGCGTGGTAGTGTTGAGGTAGACGAGGAGCGTGGTAGTGTTGAGGTAGACGAGGAGCGTGGTAGTGTTGAGGTAGACGAGGAGCGTGGTAGTGTTGAGGTAGACGAGGAGCGTGGTAGTGTTGAGGTAGACGAGGAGCGTGGTAGTGTTGAGGTAGACGAGGAGCGTGGTAGTGTTGAGGTAGACGAGGAGCGTGGTAGTGTTGAGGTAGACGAGGAGCATGGTAGTGTTGAGGTAGACGAGGAGCGTGGTAGTGTTGAGGTAGACGAGGAGCGTGGTAGTGGTAGTGTTGAGGTAGACGAGGAGCGTGGTAGTGTTGAGGTAGACGAGGAGCGTGGTAGTGTTGAGGTAGACGAGGAGCGTGGTAGTGTTGAGGTAGACGAGGAGCGTGGTAGTGTTGAGGTAGACGAGGAGCGTGGTAGTGTTGAGGTAGACGAGGAGCGTGGTAGTGTTGAGGTAGACGAGGAGCATGGTAGTGTTGAGGTAGACGAGGAGCGTGGTAGTGTTGAGGTAGACGAGGAGCGTGGTAGTGTTGAGGTGACGAGGAGCGTGGTAGTGTTGAGGTAGACGAGGAGCGTGGTAGTGTTGAGGTAGACGAGGAGCGTGGTAGTGTTGAGGTAGACGAGGAGCATGGTAGTGTTGAGGTAGACGAGGAGCGTGGTAGTGTTGAGGTAGACGAGGAGCGTGGTAGTGTTGAGGTAGACGAGTGTTGAGGAGCGAGGAGCATGGTAGTGTTGAGGTAGACGAGGAGCGTGGTAGTGTTGAGGTAGACGAGGAGCGTGGTAGTGTTGAGGTAGACGAGGAGCGTGGTAGTGTTGAGGTAGACGAGGAGCATGGTAGTGTTGAGGTAGACGAGGAGCGTGGTAGTGTTGAGGTAGACGAGGAGCGTGGTAGTGTTGAGGTAGACGAGGAGCGTGGTAGTGTTGAGGTAGACGAGGAGCGTGGTAGTGTTGAGGTAGACGAGGAGCGTGGTAGTGTTGAGGTAGACGAGGAGCGTGGTAGTGTTGAGGTAGACGAGGAGCGTGGTAGTGTTGAGGTAGACGAGGAGCGTGGTAGTGTTGAGGTAGACGAGGAGCGTGGTAGTGTTGAGGTAGACGAGGAGCGTGGTAGTGTTGAGGTAGACGAGGAGCGTGGTAGTGTTGAGGTAGACGAGGAGCGTGGTAGTGTTGAGGTAGACGAGGAGCATGGTAGTGTTGAGGTAGACGAGGAGCGTGGTAGTGTTGAGGTAGACGAGGAGCGTGGTAGTGTTGAGGTAGACGAGGAGCATGGTAGTGTTGAGGTAGACGAGGAGCGTGGTAGTGTTGAGGTAGACGAGGAGCATGGTAGTGTTGAGGTAGACGAGGAGCGTGGTAGTGTTGAGGTAGACGAGGAGCGTGGTAGTGTTGAGGTAGACGAGGAGCGTGGTAGTGTTGAGGTAGACGAGGAGCGTGGTAGTGTTGAGGTAGACGAGGAGCATGGTAGTGTTGAGGTAGACGAGGAGCGTGGTAGTGTTGAGGTAGACGAGGAGCATGGTAGTGTTGAGGTAGACGAGGAGCGTGGTAGTGTTGAGGTAGACGAGGAGCGTGGTAGTGTTGAGGTAGACGAGGAGTGTGGTAGTGTTGAGGTAGACGAGGAGCATGGTAGTGTTGAGGTAGACGAGGAGCGTGGTAGTGTTGAGGTAGACGAGGAGCGTGGTAGTGTTGAGGTAGACGAGGAGCGTGGTAGTGTTGAGGTAGACGAGGAGCGTGGTAGTGTTGAGGTAGACGAGGAGCGTGGTAGTGTTGAGGTAGACGAGGAGCGTGGTAGTGTTGAGGTAGACGAGGAGCGTGGTAGTGTTGAGGTAGACGAGGAGCGTGGTAGTGTTGAGGTAGACGAGGAGCATGGTAGTGTTGAGGTAGACGAGGAGCGTGGTAGTGTTGAGGTAGACGAGGAGCGTGGTAGTGTTGAGGTAGACGAGGAGCGTGGTAGTGTTGAGGTAGACGAGGAGCGTGGTAGTGTTGAGGTAGACGAGGAGTGTGGTAGTGTTGAGGTAGACGAGGAGCGTGGTAGTGTTGAGGTAGACGAGGAGCGTGGTAGTGTTGAGGTAGACGAGGAGCATGGTAGTGTTGAGGTAGACGAGGAGCGTGGTAGTGTTGAGGTAGACGAGGAGCGTGGTAGTGTTGAGGTAGACGAGGAGCGTGGTAGTGTTGAGGTAGACGAGGAGCGTGGTAGTGTTGAGGTAGACGAGGAGCGTGGTAGTGTTGAGGTAGACGAGGAGCGTGGTAGTGTTGAGGTAGACGAGGAGCATGGTAGTGTTGAGGTAGACGAGGAGCGTGGTAGTGTCGAGGTAGACGAGGAGCATGGTAGTGTTGAGGTAGACGAGGAGCGTGGTAGTGTTGAGGTAGACGAGGAGCGTGGTAGTGTTGAGGTAGACGAGGAGCGTGGTAGTGTTGAGGTAGACGAGGAGCGTGGTAGTGTTGAGGTAGACGAGGAGTGTGGTAGTGTTGAGGTAGACGAGGAGCGTGGTAGTGTTGAGGTAGACGAGGAGCGTGGTAGTGTTGAGGTAGACGAGGAGCGTGGTAGTGTTGAGGTAGACGAGGAGCGTGGTAGTGTTGAGGTAGACGAGGAGCGTGGTAGTGTTGAGGTAGACGAGGAGCGTGGTAGTGTTGAGGTAGACGAGGAGCGTGGTAGTGTCGAGGTAGACGAGGAGCGTGGTAGTGTTGAGGTAGACGAGGAGCGTGGTAGTGTTGAGGTAGACGAGGAGCGTGGTAGTGTTGAGGTAGACGAGGAGCGTGGTAGTGTTGAGGTAGACGAGGAGCATGGTAGTGTTGAGGTAGACGAGGAGCGTGGTAGTGTTGAGGTAGACGAGGAGCATGGTAGTGTTGAGGTAGACGAGGAGCGTGGTAGTGTCGAGGTAGACGAGGAGCGTGGTAGTGTTGAGGTAGACGAGGAGCGTGGTAGTGTTGAGGTAGACGAGGAGCGTGGTAGTGTTGAGGTAGACGAGGAGCGTGGTAGTAGTAGCAGTTATAGTGTTCTCCAATAAACATACCAAGCTTCTTTATATCTGGTATTTTTCCTTGGTACCTTAAAGGTTGAGCCAAAGAAAAACTAATATTTATGAGTTCAATATCCATTCATCTGAAGCTTATGTGTTAAGAGTTAACTCTCTCCCTGTGTGCCCTATGGGTCTTATCTTGAGGTTATCTTGAGATGATTTCGGGGCTTAGCGTCCCTGCGGCCCTGTCCTCGACCAGGCCTCCTTTTTGTTACACATCCCCCAGGAAACAGCCCGTAGCAGCTGTCTCCGAGGTACCTGTTTACTGCTAGATGAACAGATGCATCAGGGTCAAAGAAACTCTACTCATTTGTTTCCGTCTCCACCGGGGATCGAACCCAGAACCTCAGGACTACGAATCCCGAGCGCTGTCCACTCAGCTGTCAGCCCCCTTAGGTCTGGCTCTTTCTTTGTTGACTTAAGGCCTAGAATTCATTATTCCGTCGGGTTTAAAAGGAATTAACTTTGTAACTCAGAACCTGCATTGATTTAGAGGAGGAAAATCTTGATGTATTAGTCCCACAATTTTGTGAAAGGGTAAGTAATATTAATCACGAAAGAATACGATGTGTGGTATGAAAAGGCTTATGACATGGTCCCCGGCAGGATATTAATGTAACGAGAAGCTAGCATGCTGGGATGAGGTGACAGAGGTGAAGGCGTACTCTAGGCTAGTACCCTGATGCGTACTTGATGCTCCTGTTCGCCTAGCAGTAAATAGGTACCTGGGAGTTAGACAGCTGCTACGGGCTGCTTCCTGGAGATGTGTAACAAAAAGGTGGCCTGGTCGAGGACAGGGCAGAGGGGACGCTAAGTCCCCGAAATCATCTCAAGATATAACTCAAGATAGTAAGGACGCATCTCCAAGCGCTCTCTTTCTCTTGCCGTTCAATTAATCGGATTTATGTTTAAAAATGGTCCATGTCATGATTTCGTCTCCTGCTCTGTAGGGCACTTTCCTTGTGCTGGAGACTGATATTGGCAAGTTAACGAACGAAAGTGATAATTCTGGGAGTGATGATGGCAGTGAAATTGGAAGTATCAAGTCTTAAAGATTTAACTTGTAAGCTTCGAAGGCAGCACAACGAAACTTTAACTTGTCTTCGATAAACCATTCATAGAAAACGTGGCAATTAAAGAAAAACAAAACAAGTCTATCTACTCCTGTGATAAATGAAAACTCAGGTGCAACAGAGCTAGGGATAACTACATAAATATACGATGAATGTCTGAAAGAAAGTATGAAAATTATATTGCCTGTAAAGGTATATTGCCTCTTAAGTCCAGCAACGAGGAGGCCTGCTCGGGGACTGGGCCGCGGGGACGCTAAGCCCCGAAATCATCGCTAGGTAGCCACCAGGTATAACACAACCAAAACTCCTATGTAATCATATAAGAAGGAAGTTGACAGTAAACATCCATGCGATTTTATACAGATGTATAAAATACTTAGTGGGAATGAAAATGAGAAAATGTTTACATCCCAATCATTTCTAACATTCCAATCACTCATCCATGTCCCTGAGATGTTAGAAAGTTTTCATTTAGCGTAAAAATAGTGGGAAATGGAATGAACTAAAGGAGTAGCTTGAAGAAGCAAACTACATTCATAATTGTAAAAAGCAGATATGATGCAGGAAGAGATCAAGACCTTGATTCATGAAGCATTTACGCAAGTACTTGCGAACGTGTACATCTTTCCTCAATCTTTGACGGCTTTGGTTACATTCATTAAACAGTTTACAACCATGAAAACTTCCCAATCGACTGGTGTTATTGTTATAAACTGCCTTCTGTTGCTTCAGAGCTTATTAACTGTTTAATAACTGTAAACAAAGCCGCCAAAGATCGAGAAAAGATGTACAGGTTAAGTGCTTGCGTAATTGCTTCGTGAATCCGGCCCCAGGAGTCACTGCACTAGACAACTGGCGTATGGAACACAGACCTCACAAGTACGCATACACAAAGACAGGACATTCTATTGGCTGTCAAGTGGAACTTACCGCTCCCAGTATAAAAAGATGGCGTCTCTTCATCTCTGTAAAAGAAGGATATGAAGTTAAGTCATTTGCATTTTAAGACAACTGTGATCTGTTTCAACGGACGGAAACTCTTCAACTTTTATATTTTGAACTAGTTATACCCAGCCACGCGTTGCTGTGGCTCAGCCTCCCCCCCCCCATCCCCCCCCTCGTCCTCCCACCCATTCCATATTCCCCCGTCCCTTCGGCCTCCGAACCATTCCCGCCCTCCCCCGTCCCTTTGTCCCGACCATCCCCCACTCCACCGTTCCCTCGTCCTCCTAACCATTTCCCACTCCACCATTGAACATTGACGTGAGCGTTGACGTGAACGGTGACGTGAGCGTTGACGTGAACGTTGATGTGAACGTTGATGTGAGCGTTGATGTGAGTGTTGATGTGAGCGTTGACGTGAACGTTGACGTGAGCGTTGATGTGAATGTTGATGTGAGCGTTGACGTGAACGTTGACGTGAGCGTTGATGTGAATGTTGACGTGAACGTTGACGTGAGCGTTGATGTGAATGTTGATGTGAGCGTTGACGTGAACGTTGACGTGAGCGTTGATGTGAATGTTGACGTGAACGTTGACGTGAGCGTTGATGTGAGTGTTGATGTGAACGTTGACGTGAGTGTTGACGTGAATGTTGACGTGAACGTTGATGTGAATGTTGACGTGAACGTTGACGTGAGCGTTGACGTGAACGTTGACGTGAGCGTTGATGTGAATGTTGACGTGAACGTTGATGTGAGCGTTGATGTGAGTGTTGATGTGAGCGTTGACGTGAACGTTGACGTGAGCGTTGATGTGAATGTTGACGTGAACGTTGACGTGAACGTTGATGTGAGCGTTGATGTGAATGTTGACGTGAACGTTGACGTGAGCGTTGATGTGAACGTTGACGTGAGCGTTGATGTGAACGTTGACGTGAGCGTTGATGTGAACGTTGACGTGAGCGTTGATGTGAACGTTGACGTGAGCGTTGATGTGAACGTTGACGTGAGCGTTGACGTGAGTGTTGATGGGAACGTTGACGTGAGTGTTGATGTGAACGTTGACGTGAGTGTTGATGTGAACGTTGACGTGAGTGTTGAGAGACATTTCTTGGTTTTGATGACGATAGGATTTTTTAAAGAGGGTGTGAGGGAGAGAAGGAGGGTGTGAGGGAGAGAAGGAGGGTGTGAGGGAGAGAAGGAGGGAGTGAGGGAGACAAGGAGGGAGTGAGGGAGACAAGGAGGGAGTGAGGGAGACAAGGAGGGAGTGAGGGAGACAAGGAGGGAGTGAGAGAGACAAGGAGGGTGTGAGGGAGACAAGGAGGGAGTGAGGGAGACAAGGAGGGAGTGAGAGAGACAAGGAGGGAGTGAGGGAGACAAGGAGGGTGTGAGGGAGACAAGGAGGGTGTGAGGGAGACAAGGAGGGAGTGAGGGAGACAAGGAGGGAGTGAGGGAGACAAGGAGGGAGTGAGGGAGACAAGGAGGGTGTGAGGGAGACAAGGAGGGTGTGAGGGAGACAAGGAGGGTGTGAGGGAGACAAGGAGGGAGTGAGGGAGACAAGGAGGGAGTGAGGGAGACAAGGAGGGAGTGAGAGAGACAAGGAGGGAGATGAGGGAGACAAGGAGGGTGTGAGGGAGACAAGGAGGGTGTGAGGGAGACAAGGAGGGAGTGAGGGAGACAAGGAGGGAGTGAGGGAGACAAGGAGGGAGTGAGAGAGACAAGGAGGGAGTGAGGGAGACAAGGAGGGTGTGAGGGAGACAAGGAGGGAGTGAGGGAGACAAGGAGGGAGTGAGAGAGACAAGGAGGGAGTGAGGGAGACAAGGAGGGTGTGAGGGAGAGAGGGATGAAGACCAATCACAGGAGAGATAAGGTGAAGATGGAGAATGAGTAAGATATAAAGTATAGGAGTCGGTCCAAAGTGGCAGACCAAGAGGAGTGTGGCGTGTGTGAGTGGGCCGCGTTGTTCATGAGCCTGGCTGGCGGCTGCTGGGTGTCGCTGCTGGCCCGCTGCTTACTGCCTGGCTTTTGTCCCCCTGGCGACTGTCTCGTGTGCCTCCTGATCCCCCCTGGCGACTGTCTCGTGTGCCTCCTGATCCCCCCTGGCGACTGTCTCATGTGCCTCCTGATCCCCCCTGGCGACTGTCTCGTGTGCCTCCTGATCCCCCCTGGCGACTGTCTCGTGTGCCTCCTGATCCCCCCTGGCGACTGTCTCGTGTGCCTCCTGATCCCCCCTGGCGACTGTCTCGTGTGCCTCCTGATCCCCCCGACTGGTGTGCGACTGTCTCGTGTGCCTCCTGATCCCCCCTGGCGACTGTCTCATGTGCCTCCTGATCCCCCTGGCGACTGTCTCGTGTGCCTCCTGATCCCCCCTGGCGACTGTCTCGCCTCCTGATCCCCCCTGGCGACTGTCTCGTGTGCCTCCTGATCCCCCCTGGCGACTGTCTCGTGTGCCTCCTGATCCCCCCTGGCGACTGTCTCGTGTGCCTCCTGATCCCCCCTGGCGACTGTCTCGTGTGCCTCCTGATCCCCCCTGGCGACTGTCTCATGTGCCTCCTGATCCCCCCTGGCGACCCCCTGGCGACTGTGGCGACTGTCTCGTGTGCCTCCTGATCCCCCCTGGCGACTGTCTCATGTGCCTCCTGATCCCCCCTGGCGACTGTCTCATGTGCCTCCTGATCCCCCCTGGCGACTGTCTCATGTGCCTCCTGATCCCCCCTGGCGACTGTCTCGTGTGCCTCCTGATCCCCCCTGGCGACTGTCTCGTGTGCCTCCTGATCCCCCCTGGCGACTGTCTCATGTGCCTCCTGATCCCCCCTGGCGACTGTCTCATGTGCCTCCTGATCCCCCCTGGCGACTGTCTCGTCCTGATCCCCCCTGGCGACTGTCTCTTGTGCCTCCTGATCCCCCCTGGCGACTGTCTCGTGTGCCTCCTGATCCCCCCTGGCGACTGTCTCGTGTGCCTCCTGATCCCCCCTGGCGACTGTCTCGTGTGCCTCCTGATCCCCCCTGGCGACTGTCTCGTGTGCCTCCTGATCCCCCCTGGCGACTGTCTCGTGTGCCTCCTGATCCCCCCTGGCGACTGTCTCGTGTGCCTCCTGATCCCCCCTGGCGACTGTCTCGTGTGCCTCCTGATCCCCCCTGGCGACTGTCTCGTGTGCCTCCTGATCCCCCTGGCGACTGTCTCGTGTGCCTCCTGATCCCCCCTGGCGACTGTCTCGTGTGCCTCCTGATCCCCCCTGGCGACTGTCTCGTGTGCCTCCTGATCCCCCCTGGCGACTGTCTCGTGTGCCTCCTGATCCCCCCTGGCGACTGTCTCGTGTGCCTCCTGATCCCCCCTGGCGACTGTCTCGTGTGCCTCCTGATCCCCCCGACTGGCGACTGTCTCGTGTGCCTCCTGATCCCCCCTGGCGACTGTCTCGTGTGCCTCCTGATCCCCCCTGGCGACTGTCTCGTGTGCCTCCTGATCCCCCCTGGCGACTGTCTCGTGTGCCTCCTGATCCCCCCTGGCGACTGTCTCATGTGCCTCCTGATCCCCCTGGCGACTGTCTCGTGTGCCTCCTGATCCCCCTGGCGACTGTCTCGTGTGCCTCCTGATCCCCCTGGCGACTGTCTCGTGTGCCTCCTGATCCCCCCTGGCGACTGTCTCGTGTGCCTCCTGATCCCCCCTGGCGACTGTCTCGTGTGCCTCCTGATCCCCCTGGCGACTGTCTCATGTGCCTCCTGATCCCCCTGGCGACTGTCTCGTGTGCCTCCTGATCCCCCCTGGCGACTGTCTCGTGTGCCTCCTGATCCCCCCTGGCGACTGTCTCATGTGCCTCCTGATCCCCCCTGGCGACTGTCTCGTGTGCCTCCTGATCCCCCCTGGCGACTGTCTCGTGTGCCTCCTGATCCCCCCTGGCGACTGTCTCGTGTGCCTCCTGATCCCCCTGGCGACTGTCTCGTGTGCCTCCTGATCCCCCCTGGCGACTGTCTCGTGTGCCTCCTGATCCCCCTGGCGACTGTCTCATGTGCCTCCTGATCCCCCCTGGCGACTGTCTCATCCCCCCTGGCGACTGTCTCATGTGCCTCCTGATCCCCCTGGCGACTGTCTCGTGTGCCTCCTGATCCCCCCTGGCGACTGGCGACTGTCTCATGTGCCTCCTGATCCCCCCTGGCGACTGTCTCGTGTGCCTCCTGATCCCCCCTGGCGACTGTCTCATGTGCCTCCTGATCCCCCCTGGCGACTGTCTCGTGTGCCTCCTGATCCCCCTGGCGACTGTCTCGTGTGCCTCCTGATCCCCCCTGGCGACTGTCTCATGTGCCTCCTGATCCCCGCAAGGCTCTGTCCTGAGGCCGTTGCTGTTCCTAATTTATGTGAACGACCTTCCCGAGGGAGTATAAGCTCCTACATGTCACTGTTTCCAGACGATGCAAAGCTGATGAGGGATGTAAAAACAAAAGAGGACTGTAGCAAGTTACAGGATAACCTTAAACTCCAGGAATTGTCAAACAAATGGTTGCTGGAATTCAATCCCAACAAGTGTAAGGTAATGGAGATCGACAAGGGGAAGGAGAGACTGGAAGGCACAAAAATCAGGAAGATTTGTGAGTGGATGCAGTTTTAAACCTAACACCAGAGGTACACACAAACAGGATAACATCGGCAGCATGTGGGATGCTGACACATATAAGAACATAGTTTAGAAACCTTAATCAGAACTCTTTCAAGGCAATCTACACAACATTTGCTAGACAATACTGGAATATGCAGCACAGTCATGGATCCCGCACCGTGTCAAACACAGTCATGGATCCCGCACCGGGTCAAACACAGTCATGGATCCCGCACCGTGTCAAACACAGTCATGGATCCCGCACCGTGTCAAACACAGTCATGGATCCCGCACCGGGTCAAACACAGTCATGGATCCCGCACCGTGTCAAACACAGTCATGGATCCCGCACCGGGTCAAACACAGTCATGGATCCCGCACCGTGTCAAACACAGTCATGGATCCCGCACCGTGTCAAACACAGTCATGGAT